TCTGGTCTTCAACTGAATAATAACCCTGCCAAATATTAATTTCAGGTCTGTTGTGATTGGAGAGACATTGCCCTTACCATACGTGATAAAGTATTTAATCAGCATGAGGAACAGTTGATAGACATCCATGATGTCAAGGTAACAAAATACTCTGTGGCTTTTAAGACAGGGGTTTTTGTAAGGGGGTTACAAATTTATTGTATTTTTCTTTGTATAGGAAATAATACCCATGCTGGAACTAGAATTTTAAGTTATTAATGGCATGAAGAACCATTGCTGCTACTGTTGATGTATCATTGACAAAAGGCATTGCAAAAAATGTGATCCAACATTATGCCAGGTAACACAGAGGTTCTAGGTTTCTTCTCTTCACTTTCAAAACATTGTATTCTTTTTGTAACTGAGTTGCTGGCCTTTGTAGTAGTGACAGTCCTTCATTTACCAAATTACAGTATTTGTGCACAAGTGCTGCTATCCCTAGGGCCGCTACTGTAGTAATCAGGAATTGTTGTGAAAGTTCCCATTCAACCATTGTCTTAGCATATTGGAAGATGACTTTGCATTTATTCATGGTCTTTGTTTCAGTGCAAAGAGTGGGGATTTCTGTTAAAGAAATTATTTGGCCATCACCTTGGCACAGGGGACTACGGACATCTTGTCGTGGACCACAGTGCAATGCTGTTGCGACATTTTCGTTCCCTATATAAATATTCTGGCCAAGGATTTGAGTCTTCACACAAGCTACACAGGCAGTTGTATTCCAGGGCCACAAATCATGATTGTTCAGGACAAGGCCAATCTTGTAAGTATGCATAAATTTTAAACATATAGAAATAACAAAAAATGAAAGTTAGTTATTGAAACCATGGAAAATTGCTTTATAGCTATGGTTTACAGCTACATGAAAAACTTATTGAAAAGTCTTTTTTTGCAACTAACCTTACCCTTGTAGAAACGAGTGATTCATGTTTGACATTATGGTGTCGTAGAATGCCTGGACAGCCAACTAAACACCTATTTGCAATCAGTAAATTCCATTGTTGAAAAATAACACTTATACACAAATTTTAATGTTGATGGAAACTGCTTTATCTCCAGCTTTTGTAAATTAGACATGACGTTCTGCCTTTTGAAATGGTCACATAGGGGCAGAGTTTTAATTTGAATATTTGTGTTCTGACTTGTCGGTTTAACCCGAGTAGATGTACCTTATAGTCCCACTTTACTCGTTGTTGTTGTAATACATCCAAGTTGAAATGGAATTGCTACAAGCAAGTGAAAATTTCCATTCATTTTCAGTGAACCAAATCCTTACTCACTGGTATACAACCATGCTTTTGTCACTGCGGTATTCATTCCAACAAGCAAGGGAATGCATCATTTCAGGTTAGTGTTGAGGGTTCTTTTTATGTTTATTTTATCAAAATGTATTTGAATTTGAAAAGTTTACACAGAGAGCTGGAACAGGTGTGAAACTGGTTCAGCCAGAATTGCATAAAAAGAAGGAAGAAAAATTATAATTTGTTTCATGCAGAGATGGTGTCCTATACTCCATTGCTATATGCAGCTGATTCGCGTTTGCTGCATGACTGAAGTTCATTGTTTTGCTAACCAAATTTACTTACTGAGTGTGATTTTATATTGTGTGTCCCTCCTTAGGCAAGAAGAAGTTTTTTTACCGTGGATGTGGCTGGAAAAGCATTGACATGAAATCATGGACAAAGGAGAAAAGAAACTGGATAACGATGGTTTGTGACTTATTTAACCAAATGTTTGGAAATGACTTTCTGGTATACACATACACTGCTGATCATGGTACCAAAGTTAGCGATGAAGATTTGTCAAGACTACTGGAGTATGATCATGATTATTGGGAAGTACAATACGCCAATCATGTACTGAATAATACGGAGCAATCATCTATCAGAGAGGGTGTAAAAGAGAATCTTTGTAAACCAAGACCCCCTCTCAACACTGACTTGCTAAATGATGTTCCTGCAAGCCTGTTCCCCGCTAATTTGGGCAATGACCAACGAGATGATGTACCTGCAAGTGTGATGCAAAATTGCCAAAGTCAAAGTTCACCAAAGCCCAAACAAGAAATGCATGAGGACTCTGATGACTGCAAAATTGAGGATGTAACATCTTCACCACAGGGTCTTGCCAAAGATGTCTCCAACATAGAGGCCGATTTATGTGCTCCCTTGCAGAATGATGTCCCTCAAAATACTGTTCCAGAGTTTCAGAGTCACCAAACACCTGAGCAGGTGACTTGTGAAGACACCATCGATGATATGTCAGCAGAATCGCTTGTCAGTGGAAGTTCTTGTTTTTCTCCCATCACTGAAGGAGGGCGACTTGATGGATCAAACCAGGCTGCCTTACGTGTCTCTATGGATGAAGCCACCACAAGAGCGGAAGTGGCTGCACTATTCAACCTAATACCACCTATATCAAGTAAACCGTCCTCTGGTCTTCATCCAGTTCGTGATGCTACAACAATTTCTGATCCGTTCACATTGAATATGCGCCCTTGTGAAAATGTTGTCAAGGAAGCTGAAAAGCTTCTTGATGATGAAACGAATAAGGGAAACCATCCATCTGGTATCAACATAGTGGGTATTGGACAGTTCTCCGAACGTGGATTATCAGTTTTGAAACAGTTTTGCACCATAGCAAATACTAGACATAAGGTGTGTTCTGAGGCAAATTGGCTCAACCAGTTGAGGTGCTCATCACCAGATTTAGTGAGGATTCAGGAAGCCCTTTGGCACCAACCAGCCACTAATATAATCCTTAGGTTTGGAAAGAAAAGTATTGACGTTACTTCATTTGCAGATCTTGCATTGGAAAGGTATATTGACAGTTTTGTAATAGACATTTCCATAGGAAAGTACTTAGAAGAAGCAAGAATGAACGGAAATGACAATACACTTTACTTTCCTTCAGAATTTTATGACTGGATGAAAGCACCCGACATCAATTTCAAGAAAAAGTGGATGGCGAGAACAGCATCTGAATTGAAGAATTTCAACACCCTCCAGCAAATATTAGTCCCAGTCCATATGCCAAACCACTGGGGTTTGATTTATGTCAATTTGTCAAGGATGGAAATGTACTTTGATGATGGACTAAGATATGTTCCCCCATTTACAACCCTTCCCACAATCAAAGATTTGTTGGAACTGCTGACAATTATGTATCCATCTCATGCGACCCTCCAAACAAAGTTTTGGGTAAACTGCAACCACTTCAAACGATTTGGAATGCCAGATCAAAGAGTGAATGATTCGAAGATGATTGGTGCTGGGAGCTGTGGAGTTGGTGTTATCATGGCAGCAAGAGACTTCTTGGAGAGGGGCCCTTCATGTATCAACAGCTTTGCGTGGAGATACAGTGACATGGACTTGCATCGGAAAAACCTTATGCTTCAGATTCTTGATTGGGCCCGCGTGTAAATTTAGTTTGTTTAGCTTGCAGTGACAATGCTCCGGTGCAGTTCGTTTAAATTGAGCTGTTGCTATCTCACACCAAAATTTATCTTTTGTTTCCTGTTGATTTAATTTCCTTTTCAACTAACTTTAAACTATTCTGTCTTTTTTGGGTGGTCAGTTCATTTGAGCTGTTGTTATCTGAGGGCAGAATATAATTC